TAGTTACAACTTCGCTATGAGCTTACCTATGAGAATTCATGAGTATATTATGCAGTTATATCTCAAGTCTTTGAAACTGTGTTTAATTTATTAAATCCAGTTCACAAATAAAATTACGAAACATCTGGTACATTCTATAGCAAAATATTCACATAACGCAATATGCTAGTGTAAAAAAAGTGAATGGACCTTTTAATTTAATAGTTAATTTATTATATTTTAAAATGTACATTTTTCATATGATAATGCATTAATGATTTCTAATTAATTTACATTTTTATTAAATAGCATGCTACATAATTGAGCTTAATAAAATTAATTTTTCTTTTGTTGTTACTATCGTTATCCACGATACAAAGAGAGAAGGAAATATTATTCGTAATCGATTTTAAAGCAGAGAAAAACATTTATTAATTAAAAATTTTTATTTCTTAAATGTCTTACTTTACATATTGTTTATCTGAAATTAATTTTAATCATTTAATGCATAATTAATTCCAACATGAAATGTTACACTGTGACTGTGGCTAAAGCTTTTATACTGTAAGGCATTTATCCCTCCTTTCTTCATGCTTTCTTGGTGTACTTCAAAATAAGCCAATGACTCTACAACACTAATTATTAAATAACAAATGTCAGTTTTATGTTGACATTAAAATAAATTTAAAAACTCTAAAGGCATTTCAAGGTTAGATTATTAGATTATTTGGATATGGCAAAGCACATGAGAACATCTCCAGAGGGAAAGGATGGCTTCGTGACGCACTTATGGGAAACTGACTCGTATTTATGTTACACATGGTGAAACACATGAAGACTAACCACTTCATCCGAGTTCGATACATGAGGGCATCTGACTAAGGGATGGCTTCATGACGAACTTACTATGGGAAACTGACTCACATTTATGTTACACATGATGCAAATCATGACCGCTTGACCCGAGTTCGGTATATCAATAGTCTTAACAATTTAGCCATTCGTGAGGAAAATTAAAAATTATTATTAATTCGAGCGTAAGAACCGTTTTTTGCTTTTAAGGAAAAGAACTTATATTATCATTGAAATGCGTGTTTATTATTGAACTGAAAAACCACCGCGTGGTTAAATGATATTATTTATCAAAGTTTTAAATTGATATATATTTGTGTTCATGTGAAAATATGAAGGTCTTTAAGTTCTTCACACTCCATAATGTTAAATACTATTTAAAAATATGTAAATTTCAATTTTGTTACCGGGACTTTTAGAGAAATGCTTTCTAAGTTTTTACAGAAAACATGAAACATGTTTCGTCACAAAAGGCTAAATGATTTCGCACCTTGTGGTCTCATTTGTATTATATTTGCATTACAGCATGGCTGTAGTTAGGATTTAATTTCGGCGGGAGTTTTCACTTATATTTAAGAACAATGTTTTTTTAACTGTACTCTATTGATAAATTTAAACTCCAGTTTTCTTCAAGAGCGGTTCTTACAGTCCCTTCAGCTTCCCCGTCAACGGCCCGTACGGCCATACATTGTAGCATTCCACTGCATATTAAATCCCAAAAGCTCCCTTTCAAGTTAGGTTTAAAAAAAAATCGTTCTTTCTTGAAATCTAATGAACTTTTTCTAATCATGTCTTAATTTTCCTACAGTGGCTTTCGAAGACGTTGTACGAAAAGAAGTGAAGAAAACAACTTTCGAAAGTACATTAATTAGCGATGATTTTTCGAACGAAGACAATTAGAAAAAAAGAGAGATATTATAATACGAAATGCATAAAGTTTGTTTGACCATCCGTTAAAAGTAAATTGTTAAGTGTTAAATATAAATGAAGTGTACACCATTTAATCTGTTTTACTTTGATTCTTACTGAAATACAAGCGTATTTATTATAAACGAAGACAAACATCAGGTGCGTCGTGAGCAATGTGTTCCGCTTGTTATGAATACTGAATGAAATAATCCGGAATATATTAATTGTTAAACTAGTCACAAGATAAGACAATCCGTATTATTTAAAAAAAAAAAAAAAAAAAAAAAAAACCGCTCTTCTGAAAGATTAGATCTTCTCACGGATACATTGCGTTTGAGCTCATTGATATTAAATATCCAATTGATATAGATGATATCAAAATTCATGATAACCTTGTAAATGTTATTTTTTAATTCGCCATTTTTCTTTTTTTTCATTTCATTTTTAGGACGCATTAGTTTAATTTATTATACTTTTAATGATCATTAATTGATAAATATTTTTATTTCGTTTTTCTATTTTAATTAACAATTATTTATTACTACTAATTTATTTCTCTTTGCACTTCCTCACGCCTTCGGCACTTTTAATTTCAGAAATTAAACCCTATCATATAATTATACATGTGATAAGTTTGCATTTATTTCATTTGCTTAAATTTATTTACTCCAATTTCGACTTTGTATTTTCCCATTCGTCATCGATTCTCCCTTTTTGTGTGAGCGTATATGTTCTGCATTTAATCAGTATGATGATACTCAGACAGTTTTTAAGTCCAAGTATTATCTTCACCTAAAAATATATATTTTTTCTTTCTGGCAGGTAGATGATAAATGTTGAGTATGTTAAATACTGATAAAACTTTTGAGTGCTAGAAAGGAAGTTTTATCAAGTTTTCATTCAGGTTTCTACAGGCCATTGACTTAATAAAAAAGATAAACTAACCGCGGTAAATGATATCATGTCTTACCTTCTACTAGCCCCTTCCCTAATATAAGCATTATTTTTATATTTTGGAAACTGAAAATTTTTCTAAAATATTTTCTAAATGTTTTAAAAATATGCTTTTGAAAGAGTAAAGTTTTGAGTTTAGAATATTTTAGCAGAACCTACTTTACGTCTTGTCACATTACTAGATAGTTTACGATCTATCTGACTTAGAAGTATTGTTCATGCTTAAGACATATGATCTTTATCCTTTATGCAGCCCGCCAAATAGTCAGTTCCAAGAATAATAAGATTGCATGTTCCATGGTCTTTATCTTTCAAATTAAAATAATTAAGGTATTGCACTTTATTTAAACTCATTTCCACGAACTTTATTAAATGATTGCGTAATTAATTCGAAAATTAACTCGCGTAAGTATTCGGACACTCTGAACAAACAGTTTATCTTTAATTAAAATATGAAAATAACGCGACATATCTCGTTACATATCCTTTAACTAAATTATATATTTCATACACTTTGGCATGGATTCAATTAATTTTCAGTGTAAGTATGCTCCGTTCCTTTGTAAGAACTGCTTTTAGAAGAACTTTCAAAGAAATGCTATGTCTTATTCTTTTCTCTAACTCACTCCATCTATGTTCGATAGGATTCAAGTCGGAAGAATATGCAGGAGTTTTGATAACATCAGGACAGTTGTGTAATAACCACACTTTATTACACGTACAAGATCTGTGCAAATACATTTAAAAAATACTACAAGCGTCCGAAAACAAATGTGAGATACTGTAAATATAATGCTCACTTCCATTAACATTATAGGCTCTCATAATGCCATGTATTCAACGAAAAATTATCTGTATGTTAGAATTTATCTATGTTTAGAATCGAGCTCAGAATAGTCTAAAGGAGAACAAATCTCTAATTAATCATCAAAAATAGTAAATCGTATCATCAAAAATCGTAAATCGTAAATCTAACTAATAATCTAACAAAAATCGTAACTAAATTTCCACTCACCTTTTAAAGCCAGTTTAATACAGTCAAAAGTCGTTAATCCGGACTCGTCGGGACTTCGGCGATTCCGGATTATCGATTTTTCCGGATTATAGATCATCAGTTTAAATCTGGTAAGATGGCATGCAGAAATTATAAAATTAAAACTATGAAACCGTAATTTATGAAATAAAGAACAATTCTGATCTAAAGGGTATCAAAATTTACAAAGAAAAAAAAAGCTTTATATTTATTTGTTTACTTTATTAAACATTTCTTTCAATGTAAGTTGTTTAAGTTGCTTCGTTTTATGTGATAATACTTTCTCTTTAATTCTATAAACAGACAGAATTTCTTGTTCAGTTACAAAGTTCCACTGTTCAAGTCCTATAATTGCTGTGTCGAGAATACCGACTAATTTGTCAATCGAAATTTTTTCGTTTTCAATAACCTCTGTGTCACTTTCTTCACTATCGGAAGCGAATTATAATGACGAGGAATTTGATTAAAATCATATCAAAGACGGAGTACATCGAGATGAAATACTACATTTAGTAAGGAATTATAAGCCAAATAAAGTAAAATCATGTGCTCAGAAGATAGGATAGTGCTGACAGATCAACTTCCAATTCATTCCGCGCCGCAACGTCTCCCCTCCCCAGCAGAGCAGCGTGAAATTGATAAACAGATTTCGGAATGGTTAGAGAAACAAATCACCTCTCTGTCACTTTCTTCATGCCTTTATCCATTTTTTGCAGCAGTTCCACTTTTTGTTTAATGGACTCCGAAACATACTTTCGCTTTGTAGATCCTTTACATATTAGTAAATATATATCGGAAATTCTATTTGATATAATCGAAAGTTCAAGCTTACTTTTATAAAATTGCTCTAACAGTCTGCAAAAAATAATAAGCCGGATCCAATTCGAAGATTAAGGAACAACGCAATCTGCAACATTAACTGAATTAGATAATTTTAGCTTAGCTTATACCGTCCGTTATACATTAAACGCGCATGCGTAAACGTAGTATGCGCATGCGCACACGCATATGCGCAGCCGTAATGGTCTTACGCGCATGCGCAGAAAGTTTGTAGCTTTGAGGTCCGGATTATGGGTGTCCGAATTAACGACTTTTGACTGTATATAGATGTGGAATGTCTTAATACTAGGCTGTAGTTCGAACACTCAGTTTCACTTGTTTTGAAATTAAATCGAAAGCAATCATTTGAAAGGAAAACTATAAATGTTAATTTTTTTATACAGATTTAAGAATGTTTAACATACCAGTAAACATTATTATACGTTATTTTTAGGTTTAACAAATTATGCACCTGCACAAGGTCTTCATACTTTTTCTGATTGTTGCAGTTGTCGCATCCAAAAAGGTGAAGTATTTTTTTCATGTGATATGCAAATAATGACAATTTAATTTAATTTATATTTTATACAGATGTCATTTCTTTTCATTAAAATCTAGTTTGTAAATAATTTTCATTTCCTAAGAGATCTAAATCTATTAGAATTTTCTGCCTATAGAAAATGATACTAGCTTAAACGCACTAAGCGAATGAATTTTGATGTTAGGTTATCTCATTAAAATACAGTTTTCACCCAAACAGATTATTTTGATAAGCTTTTTTAAGATTTTCTAGAAGTTCTTTAAAATTTTTATGTATGAAATATTTAATGCTGTTTAAGTCAGGAAAGTCGTTATGTCATACAGATTTTCATTTGGAAGTATATGCAAGTTGATTGTAAGTTACAAAATGGGGAGCAGGAAGAAGTACAAATATGGCGAATCACATAATAGGAATGTAATGCTCATTTTAAAGATTTATTATTGTCATTACTATATCAAATTTTCATGCTCCTTTTGGGCTAATTTTAAAAATTCTGCAATAACGGGGATAAAATATAATATAATGTAGCAATTTTTAACGGTTCAGTTTGATGGAAATTATACGAGAAATAAACAGAACATTAGCAGTTAAAATATAATTTATTGACTATATAAATAAATAAGATTTTATGTATCTTGTCTAGCAATGACCTATTAAATATAATCATAGTTGCAAAGCTATCCATACAGCAATAAATCTTTGTAACTGAATTGTATCATTATTTTGTATTTAAAATTTTACTTTTATGTATTGATCTCTTTTTTTAATGAAGTAATAGCTAATAGCTAACTTAAGTTTAAAAATTTTCTGAACTGTTACATTTATGTATTTTTTAACCACGAATATTTTAAAATTTCTATGTGTTTTATCGAATTTAAAATGTATTTTTTTGAATGAAAATGAATCTCTATGTATTTTTTTAAAATTATCAGAAGATGAACTAGTGGAAAACTCTGCAGAAGAAAACTGTGATAGTTTAAGTACCCCTGAAATTTTTATCCAATCTGAATTATATGAAAACATACATAATTAATATTTTTTAAATAGTATAATTTATTATTAAATCTAAAACATGATGAATTAATTCTCTGTTTTTTAGCTGCTTACAACATTAACTTTTAAATCTTCTCCTCATTATTATTTTGTTACCATTAATTCCCCCCCTTTTTCCTTCTAATATGAAACTGTATTTCCAACATAAAAGAAACATTTCTAACAAAGAGAAATGACATTATGCTATTTTTTTTTTGTTTGTTTATTCCCATATATGTGGTAAAACTAGATTAAATTACTTGCTTTAATAATTATTTACTTTTCCTAGATCTTCATTTAAATAATTACCTGTCGATTTCTGCTAAATTAAGATTCTGCTTAAATTATTTGTAAGCTAAAAAATTTCACATAAAAATGATGAAGGAGCTTATATAGCATTTCTAGTGCTATAAGGAATAATTATATTACGATCTTTTATTTTTCTTTGCATGAATACTGTGTTAAAAAATGATATTTCAGTGCACATTCTTCAATGCTGTTACTTTTCAGATATATACAGAATATGAGGAATAAATAATATTTTATATAATTAATTAAAAAAAAACTGTATTTGAAAGGAAACATTTCTTCTAATTATTATTTGTTCCACTTACGTGTAAATAGTTTAAATTTATCTTAAACTGAATATCTCTATATTTAATATATTTAATAATAATAAATTTATATTAATAAATATTTATTAATAATACATTTGATATATTTATTAATATATATTTTTAATATATTTATTATAATATTCTTGAAACAAAATATTCTGCATTTTTTCCTTTTCAAGATACTGCTTTCTTTTGAAAGCAAAATGAATGCACATTACAGGCAGTACCAAGATATATTTAATTATAACAATTTTAAGTTATGCTTGAAGCCATGATAATTTTAAATATATTTATAAATCTCAAATTTTATTGAAACTGGATAATTTTTAACGACTGTGTTTTCATTTGCACCAGGCTCACAAAAGAAAACATGAAAAGAAACATCTTCTAAAAGAGACTATACCTGAAAAGGATGTTCTAGATATTTTACAAGATGATGAAGCTGAAAGTGAAAAGAAAAAATCTGCTTTGGAAAAAGAGCACCTTTTTGAAGAATTTAACAGTGATAAAGGAGGCTATATTGAAGGTGAATTTCCAAAGATTTTTAACTTAAAAATCTTCAAGTCACATTCATTTTCTGAAAATTATTTTAAATACATATTTGTAAATTCTTTTTCAAAAAAATGATTGTATAATTTTTAGAAAGTTGCTATATATATTTCAAAATTTTGAACTTTATTAAGAAGATTACTATATATAATTTAAAATTTTAAACTTTAAGAAATAAATGAACTTTTTAAGTCCATTTCTTTCGTTCTAAATTACAATAAGTTTTTAATAAGTATATTCATCTGAAAGTTATTTGGTGTGATCGAAGTATCACTTAAATAGATACACCTTATACTGATGCACAAAGGATTATTTTTAGCTATGCATGCCAAGCTTGCTATCATGTGAAAATGAAATGTTATTTTTACATGCTAGCACATACAGGTAGAGATAATTTTCAATTTCCGTATTAAGAACTTATGTCAAAACCAACTAAATATGTAGCTCATGTAGGTGCTGTGAATCAAAGCACTAAAGTAGCTGAGATTTATGATTTACTGCTTAGTTCTAAGAATTTCTTTTATACATTATTACACATTAGAATTAGAATAATTTGCTTAACTAGTCCTAGAGAGTAATGAATTATTTGCTTACACACACATATATAAATAATATTTTAATAAATATTGTAGGTTTCTCAATCTTTTATGTATATGTCCTCAAAGTTCATGTAATAAAGCCAATATGGAGTGCCATTTAAACCTTCAGTTTTTAAAAATCTAGTCAAATATCATTTTCTCTTAATTGTATTAAAATTCAGCAGTTATATATAAAGAAATTATCCTTAAAAGTATTTGAGGATGGACTGATTAAAAGGAGAAATTTTACTTTCAGTTTTTTTTCTGATTAATCATTATTACCAATTTTTATTAACTAAATTATAAATTGCATTTATTTATATTTTTGTTAAAGTTCCAAAATTTGTAAATCAATTTTATTTGCATCAAAAACTTCCTAGATCCATGTGCAAAGCATAAATGTGGACCAGGAAAAGTGTGTGAAATAAACGAAGAAGGAAAAGCTCATTGTACTTGTATTGAAAAATGTCCTGAGGAGATTGATTATAGAAGAAAGGTATTTTATTTCCAAATAACTGTTACTAAATATTTTATTTAAAAAGGATGGACCATTCTAATTCTTCTAGAATTATTATACAATTTGTTTCAAAAAGAATCACCCAATTAAAAAAACATATTATTCAGCTTTAAATCTGTTTCGATTAAATAATGCATTAAATAATGTAAAAAGAGGGAACTCTTGAGTTTCATGCAGTTGGCGACAGGTAACACTAATTTTCTTCCTTCACCCACCACTTCCAGTGCTTTTCAAGATGACAACTGTGCAACAGTTTTGTGTTCTACACTGTGAAAAATGTGAGTTTGTTCAGTGTTATTTTAGATGACAATACCCTAGTGTTTAACAACCTGCCATTCAGAGCATTATTTGATGGTATAAACAATTCCAAGATACAGGTTGCCTGTGTAAAAGGAAATCACCTGGGCTTCCCCACATGTCAAATGAAAACGTGGAGTGTATAAGATAGAATTTTGCAAATATTATATACAGGGGTTGGACAAAAATATGGAAACACCTTTAAAAAAACATGTTTCTTTGCTTAATATGGTGTAGGAAACCAGTTGGCATCCAAAACAGCTTGCAGTCTTCTCGGAATGGATAAATACAGTTCCTGTATGTTTGCCAAGGGAATATTATACCATTCTTCCTGCAAAACGGTGGCAAGTTCAGATAATGATGTTGGCGGTGGATAACAAGAACGCACTTTCCGTTCCAATGTAGACCACAAAGGTTCGATAATATTCAGGTCTGGTGATTGTGGTGGCCAGGGAAGATGGGACAACTCATCCTCGTGCTCAGAAAACCAGTCCTGGACAATGTGAGCTGTGTAAACAGGGGCTTTGTCGTCTTGGAAGACACCATCACCATCGGGGAACAAAGTTTGTAGCATGGGATGAACTTGATCGGCCAAAATGTTCACATAAGTCTTGGCAGTCATGTGCCCTGACACAGTTATCATGGGGCTAGCAGAGAACCACGATATGGTTGCACAAACCATAACAGAACCCCTGCCATGTTTCACTCTTGGCAACAAGCAGTCTGTATTATAGGCTTGAGATGGCGTTCTCCAGACGTAAACTCGGCCAGAAGTGGGAAACAATGTGAAAGAAGACTCGACCATATTACTCGCTTCCACTGCTCTATAGTCCAGGCTTTATGACTTAAACACCACCTTTTCCTGTTACGGGCATTAGCATCACTGATAAGTGGCTTCTCAATTGCAGCACGGCCAGCGATTCCCTGTTTGTGAAGCTCCCTTCTAATTGTTTGGTACTCACAGGGTTCGGTAACACAACATTCATTTCAGCAGTAACTTATAATGTAATATAAATAATGTTGCAGCTGTGGTCTTCTTATTTTTCGTCACAATTGCCCTTAATGATTGTCTGTCACGATCACCCAGGACACACTTTCGTCCACGCTGTGATTTAGCAGATGATGTTTTTCCGCTTTTCAAATATGCGGAATAAATCTTCGATACAGTACCTCTTGAAACACTAAAAACTTAAACACTCGGCTACCTTGCTTACGGAAGCACCTACTATACATGCTCCAACAATTTGCCCACGTTCGAAGTCTGTTAACTCTGACATAATGCAATGACAACCTCACATAACAGTACTCCGACAACAACTGAAGTGTTTAGCACATTTACGAAGTTGGTGGCGTCAGTTACCAAAAATGCCAGCGCCACCTACATATTTCATTAAAATCAATTTTTCTTTTCAAACATGCATTTCACAAGGTGTTTTCATATTTTTGTCCATCCACTGTATATAGATATGGGTGGTATATTTTTACATATATGCTCATAGATATCCATTCACTGTGACGGTAGGGATCTTGACATTCCTGCAATATTTGTCTAGCATGTTCAGCAGTGACATTTGTTTTTCAAATCATAGAGTTCAGTCACTGCAAGCTCTTCATACAGGTGACAAAGTACAATGTGTAGAATTTTGTTAATTCCTCCTTTAGCGTGTGTCACAAGATGATAATTTTTTAACACATTTTATACTTATTGATGAGACTACTTATAATCTCTTCATACAGGTGACAAAGAACAACATGTAGAGTTTTCTGAGTTCATCTTTCAGAATGTTTCAGAAGATGACAAATTTTTAACACGCTTCATCTTTAGCCACGAGGCTACTTTTAATCTAATTGGCAAAATCAACCATCACAGTGTTATGGGTAAAAAGCAACCACATTAAATTGTACACAAGGAGAGAAATTGTACGCATGACAGACTCTTCAGAAGTAAATGTTTTATGTGTTATTTCTCGGGGAAAGGTCTCTTTTTTTCATAAAAGCTGCTATTACAGGAATCCCATATGCTTGAAAACTGGCTTTTCTCAGAGTTCGAAACCAATTTAGATGATTTTATTTACCAGCATAACGTGACACCACCACACTAGAGTTTGAACATATTTTCCAACAACTGTATTCCTCAACAATGGCATTCAAGATCTGAGGATTCAATTAAACATTATTGACTTCCAAATCACTGGACCTCTCAGTGCACGATTTCTTCTTTTGGGGATTTATAAAAGACTTCATTTATGTGCCTCTACTTATAGCTACATCAGCCAAACTGAAGATATGCATAACGAACAACATCGGATACAGATATACTTGCAAAAGTTTGGAACAAATTTGACTACCGTACAGGCATATGCTGAGCGTCCAAAGGTGGACATACCGAGCACCTTTAATCTGGCTTGTAAAAAAATTTGATTAGCCATCAATATAAAACTAATCTTAAATTCTATGTTCAGTATTTTTCACACTGGGTGATTCTTTTTGAAACATCATATATATTTGTAGTAATGTTGTAAAAATTTATATTAAATAATCTCTCCTCACAGCTTTCATTCACAAGTTCTTTATACAAAAGCATAAAGCTATTGCTATACAAAAGTACAAGACATAGTGCTATCACAAATAATTTTGCAAACTTGGCTATTAAGTTATTTTACAAAACAATCAATTATACCAACAAATAATTCGATGAACAAATGACTAATTCATTTGTTATTTGGATTAATAATATCAATGAAGAGTAAATAAATTCTTGAATTTAAATTGAAAAAAAAAAATCTAAACTTTAAAAACTTTCTGAAGAAAGTCAATAGTTCTTTGTGACAAACTTGATTATGTACTTCTTGATTATCTGCAAACTCGATTTCAATATTCCAAAGTATTTTGGCTGCCATTTTGCGGAACACAATCCACCAGCTATAAAAGTGTATGTTATTGGCCATATAATTTTTTCATTCTAAAAATGTCTCATTTCTTATAAAATGTTTCATTTTATATTATTTATGAGTAGAATAGTACCTATGAGCCATTTAGCTATATGTTTCTTGTGAATTCACAAATTCGTCAACTGACTGGCGACTTTTGATCGGGATGCAGTCAGAAAGTATCTTTGATTACATTTATAATATATTAATTATTTATCCATAGTTTTATTCTTTTGATCTGTAACAACCATATCAATTTTTCTGTGTAATCTTGTCTTTCCACTGAGATACATTAATCATTTTGGGGCGAAAGAAAAGAAAAAAAAGGTTTTTTTTTTTGGGGGGGGAACGGAAGAGAAGTAGACAAATAGTTTAGACAGCATGACATACCTAAAAAAAATCCAATTCTGCATGAGAATATTAGCTTATTGGAACAGTGACATTACTTATTGGAACTTAATGCAATAAATGCTAAATGTTAGCAGTTGAAAATTAATTATAGACTTATTTATACTCTTCCTGCTTGAAATGAAATTCTATAACAAATTGAATAACTGAAGCATCTCTATGGATCATATAATGAAATTGATGGATGAAATATGTGATTGATATGCTATGAGCAAAGAAACAAATCTCTGACAGAATTTTCTTGGAAGAGAAAAAGCTGCCTGCAGCAATGGCTTTATAGACTGGATTTTTTAACACATCAATGGATGAATTAAAATGGATATAGGTGAACAGTGATGAATGAGGCTGTCAGGAAATTTCTGGATGTGCCAATGGCCATAGATCTGCTTGTAATCAGATATTAATCATAATTACAGGATTCATCCCCCCAAAAGAAACCTCATTTGAAGATAAAGATTTAATCACATTACTCCAATAGGAAATTGAAAGAACCTAATGGTAAACATACATATTAAACATATGTTAATTTTTGTTTTTGGTTCAATGACTGTTCATAACTGTTGGATCTAATTCTTTACTCCATAAGCATAATAGGAAGAATTTTCATATCTTGCCACCCTGATTATTTTATAATGAAGCCAACATCTTCATAAGAAATTATTTAAAAGCAATAGCTATCGACAGGGCCTTTTCACCCAACATTATTAATCAAGCAGTTAAAAAATTCTCATCTCAACACACTAAAAGGCACACTCTTGTTTTAGGAGATTATAAAAATTCTGTTGTCATTCCCTTCTTCCCATCAATTAGCTATAAAGTTGCACATATTTTGCAGAATTTAACTTTCGGGTTGTTTATTCTCCCATCAATAAAATTCCGGGTTCCATACTTAAGGACCCCATTCTGGATATGAATTCCTGGGGTATTTATAGGATTCCTTGCCAGTGTGGTTTAATTTACATTGGCCAAACTAAGAGAGCCTTAAAATTTCGCGTCAAGGAACATGAGGCATATGTTAGAAAAAAGGACACACAGAAGTCTTCTGTTGCGCAACATTGTTGGTCCGAAAATCACACTTTCAATTTTTCTGCTGCCAAAATTATTCAAAAAACATCTTCCATTGGAGAACTGGATTTTCTAGAGGCATTTCACATTCATAAAAATCTTTCTGTTCTAGTTAACGATCCTAATTCCAATCCAAATTTGCCTTCGGCCTTTAAAGAAATTATGTTTTAGTTCTGGTTTCACCAACAGATGGCGCCACTTGCTTATTCTTGTCCAGGCTTTCTTATCTTATCTAATCATTTTTTTCCCTATCTTGTTCATTTGCGGTTTTGCAGCTGAGGATGGTGGTTCGGTAAAACCATCGAAACTAGTCCTGTGAAATTTTGTAAATATAACGCTGATTTTTGTTGTTTGTCTTCTGAATTAGTATTTATTTTGCGTGTTATTGTGTCTTAATTATCTTCATAAGAATCAGCAACAAAGAGAGATATTCACTAATATAAAATATTCATATGAACATCCAACCATTTCAATAAAGTCTGCATTTTAAATGATATAAAATGAACTTCTTGGGTATCCCAGGCACTTTTCTAGCCTTTATCCTGAGACTCTTTTGTCTTAAGAATGGCACTGACCTGTCAAATGCATTCTGACACTTTAATGCAAGCTGGTGAAACCAACCCAATTTTAATACTTTTGCTTGGCTTTATTTTTTGATACTTTTTTTTAAAAAATTAAATTAGATTATGAACAATTAAAACTGTGAGAGTTTTTACATTTTATATGTCTTTTTACTAGAAGCAATAAGCAAATTTATAAATACTGGTTCTAGGCATTGCTATAACATATATACCACAGCCTTTTACCTGTGAACTGTAAGATTTCACAGGTAAAATTCACTGTTTGAAATCTCTACACTAATACAGAATATTAAGAATGAAACTTTGGTTTTCTACTGGATCTTTGTGACTTTGAATAAACTGACTGATTATCCAAATATTAATATTACTTGTAAAACATTTCTCTGTCTTTCCATTGCTCCTTACAAGAAAAATTTGTATCTTTAGAAAAAATGAAAAAGTAATAAGTAATTAAGTGATCATAACTAATATAGTATTAATTATTATTAATTAAATTTGAATATAAATTCTGAAATAAGAAAACCTAGGTACAAAAATAAAAATTAAGGGAGAATAGTTCCAATTCTTTTAAAGCAAATTTTCATGCTTTATTAAATGCGAAAAACATTTCTTTACTAGGTTTGCAGTAACCACAATGAAACTTGGGACAGTGATTGTGAACTGTATCGCATGAGGTGTTTATGTACTGAGGGCTTGGAAGGTTGTAAATTGAATAAGTATAATCATGTACACATTGATTATTATGGACCATGCAAAGGTAAATATTTAACATTTGTTCACTGAATAAGTGTGATTATTAAACTATTATAAAATTTATGTCAAAAATATAAATAAAAATGGAAATCATATTTTTTGCATAATATTTTAATTAAAGGATTCCTTTATATGAGCTTATTTATTTGACAAAATGTAAATTGTAGTAAATTTTAATTATATAATAATTCCTTAAAAACACATAGGGGCTTTTTGTGTTTAAATAAAAATATATCATAAATTAAAATTTTGTTTATACAAATCTTTGTATAGAGAAAATTATGCTACACAAGATGTCAGACATTTTAGACTTTTTTTTTTTTGGAAGAGGAATTTAAAAAGTGCATATCATTATCTGACTGTTTGAGCAATAAATATCATCAAGATAAATTATAGGAAAACAAAGACCGCAAACTGAAATTTACAAATTATTCAGACAGAACATTTTGAAATTATGCCAGAATACAGTTTAAATTCAATGACATCTTATCTTCCCAATGCAAATTTTTTTTTTTTTTAATGATAATAGCATATATTAAAATTCGAACTATTTGCTGTCTATAAAACAGCAAACATCTGAATAAAAAGTGAAATAAAATTTAAGGGAATCGGGGAAATCTTCTTTTAACTTTGGAATTATGATTATACAGTTTTCCACTACAAATGAAAATAAAGCAATACCTTTAACAGCCTTTATCATTAAATGATATTTTTGAATATATATATCATATTCTAAATCTAAAATACTGCAATAAGTATAAATGTTATTAACTTGTAAACTGCTTTTATTTAGACTAATTTAATTTTAGTTTTTTTGATATTTTAAATGGGAAAACTTTACAAAAAACTATCAAAATAAGTGTAAAATATATTTTCCCACATTTTTAAATACACATAATTAAATAATTCTTCTTCCTCTAAAGATATAGGAGAATGCACTAAACAAGAATTAGAAGATTTTCCTCGTCGCATGAGAGATTGGCTTTTCAATGTCATGCAGGAATTGGCACGAAGAAATGAGTTAAAAGGACCTGCCCTTGAACTTGAACAAGAAGCAGAAAAGACAAGAGAGCGAAAATGGGTTAATGCTGTAATTTGGAAATTCTGTGACTTGGATGTCCATCCACATGACAGGTTTGAATTATCCACAATAATTTCCAAGCTATATGGTATTTGTGCAATATAGTATATTTTCATAAATATCTTAACTTTATTTGTTCTTACATTATGACTCTGACATATGGAACCAGTACTCATACTGCACTAAATATACTTGAATTGCATTGAAAATAATTCATTTGCTCTCTCTTGAAAGGGGGGGGGGGGGAAACTGCACATTTTTATTGTACAACAATTGTTTTAATTGTAACTACAACAGTTTTTCTCATGTTGAGTATAAACAGAAGCTAGTTTAGCCTTTAGACAGTCCTTGAACAGGGTATTAGGCAATTAATCAGACATCCCTGCCATAGTTAACGCATTGACTGCCATGGGAGTCAACAGTGGCCGGTATTCCACTTGGCTTACAGCGTCGTAAGAGGCACCGGTTACCGATGACACGACCAATAGTCAAAATGAATAATTAAGAGTAAATATCGAAACTGATAAATCGTTTAAAAAAAGACCATTGTTACTACAATGGTTTGAAGAATAATAAATTGCAAAAATGGTCTACAGTGCCTCAAGGGGGGGTCATTGGTGACCCCTATTAAGAAAAATGCCTTAAACACAATTATATAACTCATCTTATCTTCTGTAGATAATATTTCAACATAATATACATTGCATAAAAAAAAAAGTCAATTGCAGAAGGAAGCAGAAAGTGACGATCAAAGAAAAAAACATCTGCATACTGAGGAAAGACATTATTGAAGAAATGATTTATTTATTGAAATGTCTTCTTATGGGGATCTGGTACAGTTTGATCAATTACTTACTGAGGTGTAATTCATGAAATCTATGAAATGTTTTACAATCCAATTATAATTAAACCTTTCTTTTTTAAAAACATAATTAAATGACATTTTCAGTACCACTGATAATCATGGTATGTAGGCAACCATCTTCAAGAAAACTGAAAATCATTTGGGACCAGAACTCTCTTAGGAAGGTTTCTTTACACTTCAAAATTTCTTAAATTTTTACTGGGCTATATTTGTTAAATATTTCCCATGAAAGCAAAAGCTTTGGTCAATGCTATCATAATATAGAAATCTTACATTTATATCCGATAATAACAACTCAAAGAATGTAATGAATTTATAGCCAGTAAAATTATAAAATGTAAATACAGGGTGATTGAAAATGATTGATCTGTATAACCAGTAAAACTATCAAATGTAAATACAGGGTGATCGAAAGTGACTGATCTGATTTCAACTTGATTTCTGAAATCAAACACAGAGGCAAATACACAAACTTCTGTCGCACAAAGTATGTCAGAAGAAAAGAAAAATTGTCTAAGTTTTCACATGCACATTTTATGTGACTTTTAAATACATGAAAAAAAAAATGATAATCATCGCCTTTCTATATCAGTTCCAGGACACTTTTTGTTGTTAACTCAGATACACCAGCAGTGGGCATTTTGAGAGTATATCTGAGCATAGTTTTAATGAATACAGTCAAAAGTCGTTAATTCGAACACCCATAATCCGGACCTCAAAGTTACAAACTTTCTGTATAGTGTCTTTCTGTATGGTCTTACGCGCATGCGTCGCGTTGATGCATGCGTGTAAGACCTTTATGGCTGCGAATATGCATGTGCGCAAAATACGTTTACGAATGCGCGTTTAATGTATAACGGACTGTATAAGCTAAGCTAAAATGATCTAATTCAGTTAATGTTGCAGATTGCGTTGTTCTTTAATCTTCGAATTGGATTCGGCTTATTATTTTTTGCAGACTGTTAGAGCAATTTTATAAAAGTAAGCTTGAACTTTCGATTATGTCAAATAGAATTTCTGATATATATTTACTAATATGTAAAGGATCTACAAAGCGAAAGTATATTTTGAAGTCCTAAATTAAATAAAAAGTGGAATTGCTGCAAAAAATGGATAAAGGCATAGCCTTTGTTTATCTAAACTTTAACATTTGTTTATCTAAACTTTGCTTATCTTTAATGCCACGGAGCACAATGAATTGGAAGTTGTCATTATAATTCGCTTCCGATAGTGAAGAAAGTGACACAGAGGTTATTAAAAACGAAAAAAATTTCAATTGACAAATTAGTCGATATTCTCGACACAGCAATTATAGGACTTGAACAGTGGAACTTTGTAAGTGAATAAGAAATTATGTCTGTTTATAGAATTAAAGAGAAAGTATTATCACATAAAACGAAGCAACTTAAACAACTTACATTGAAAGAAATGTTTAATAAAGTAAACAAATAAATATAAGCTTTTTTTTTTTTTTTTTTTGTAAATTTGATACCCTTTAGATCAGAATTGTTCTTTATTTCATTAAATAACGGTTTCATATTTTCAATTTTATAATTTCTGCATGCCATCTTACCAGATTTAAACTGATGATCTGTAATCAGAAAAATCGATAATACGGAATCGCCGAAGTCCCGACGAGTCCGGATTAACGACTTTTGACTGTACTAGTAATTTTTAAACTCCAGATCAACGAGTCATATGATGTAAGATGTGATGACTTAAAAGATTACCTAAGAAAACTGAGTAATCAGGCCTGTTTCAATTGATACAAAACAACAGGAGTACAAGATCATTTAAGAAAACTATAAAACTATCAAAATTTTGATGGTATTCTAAAACATTGAGTTTTTATCTGATGTATTAATATACAATTAATAGGTGCAGAATTATGTTCATTTCAAATTGGGTTGATCATTTTGAATTGCTTTTCACTGCTCAAGTAGGATAGGTTGCATGAATAGTAAGTCAAACTCGAACAGTTTTTCTTTCATATATTACTAGATCATTCTACAATGAAATTTCAGAAATAAAATTATGTGAAATTGAATCAATCATTTTGAGTTTCCCCATGTATTTAAAGGCAGCAATCGCTTTGAATTTCCCTGTCTAATTTAAAATTTTATAACAACAGGAGTATCCATGTGCCTAAACAGGCGAGATGATTCTCTTCTAAATAATTTTATCAGAAACGTCATAAATATAATCCCTGGGGGTGGTGAAAAACTTGGCAAATATGTAAACCTCAGACTGATGTTGTTTTTATCAAAAAGCTATGTAGGGCACCTTACATGATTAACTTCTTTGATAAACAAATTTATTCTGTAGATCTGAAATGCATATTTATAGTTACTATGTTTTTCTTGAAATACATTAGTCTTCTGTCTAATCAATATTAACTCAAGCTTGAATTTTAAAAAAAAATTTGAAATGCATTTTTTATACATCTAATCTGCTTTAGATAAAGAGTATTCCTATTTGAGAGGCCTTAATTTCTAAATAAATGTGCGATTTTGAATTTCATATATTGAAAATTTGTAATGTATTTCACTTATGAAAGAAATCATCTGCACTATACTGCTACTTTCATTCCACTTTCTATTATTTATCCTCTCATACACATTTTTAACAACTGTGCTTAATTTCGAAACAAAAATTAAACTATTAAAAATTGCTCTAGTATCCATGTGCCTAAAAAGGTGAGATGATTCTCTTCTAAATAATTTTGTCAGAAACATCATAAATATAATCCCTGGGGGTGGTGAAAAACTTGGCAAATATTCAAATTTTATTTTGGAGAATACTTAAGTGTAATTACAATGTGATTCAAATGTTCTCAAATTTTGACCTTTATGCACTGCTGTTTATTTTGCTTTATATGTATAATATTAACTAACAGGATTACAAAATTACAAAATTAAACAAAAGGTACTTTTTTAACAAAAGATTCTGCATACGATCACTATGTTTTTGATCTTTTCAGCCCTTACACACTGTGTTTGGTATTCTGCAATGTAATGCATATCAAAGCTTCACCAAAGGTTAAATAAATTTACCTCAAACAGCAATACTATAGTTTTCACTGTAACAGTAAATAATTGAGAAATCAAGAACTTCTAAATAGGATATAATTGCAAGTTAGTTACCTTTGCAAAATTTTAATTTATGTATGTCTCTGGTCAGTTTTACTGGAATACATGAATAAAAGATTTAAATAATATTTCTTAAGGATGATATATAAGTAAGTTTTTATTTGAAATCTGCCCAAAACATTTTTGAGCAATTAATTTTGCACAATTAATTTTACTTGTAGCGTTGAAAAAAATTAGCTGAATATTAAAATTAGCTGAATATTAAATTAAATCTTTTGATGTGATATTTGGTTAACTGACTTTACACACATAAAAAAGAGCAAAATTTAAATTGAATATTTTAGATTAAAACAGCACATATCTGACACATTTTAAATTTAATAATTAACTATATATCTTTTCATAACCATTTAACACAGCATTTCTCAAACTTTTTCAAGTAGGAACCACTTTTATAAATTAGAATGTTCTGCAGACTAACCTTTCTCTTTTCCCTTACAAAAGCAATTTTTTTAACACATGTGCTTTTTACCATTATGCTTAGATTTTTAAAACACAATTAATTTCACATTGGTATTAAATAATTTAGTTTTTAATAATTTAAGGTTATTAAAAATTTGATTAAACTTATTAACTAAAAACTATGTAAATGTCGGTACCCATGTTAATAAGATGGATGAGTCTGTACATTCTTGCATAGGTGTTCCATGTTTGCATGTATGCTCTTTAGAAGCACCACAGTCAGTGCTTTAACTCTCTCTTTTATTGTTAAGACTAGAATGATAAGTCCATAGATAGAATAACTGGTAATAATTTTTTTAAGTAAATTTTGGGAGCAAAAGTTATTAGGCATGCATAATTTCCAAACTTTGAGAATTTTAGCTATGGTGTGGTATATGCAGTTAATTTTTTTTTTTTTTTTAGAAATCTATGATGACTACAAGGGCGGGTCTTGATAACCACCTGTGGTCCACACGCCATACATTTGAAAAATGCTGATTTAGCATATTTCTTCTGTTTTTAAGCTTCTTAATGGACACCAATATTAAAAATACCATCCTTTGATTCAATAAGATTCAATCATCCACATTAATTCTCACATCTATTCCAGAATATCTGTTATACAACAAGTATAATTTTTTGTTTAGTTTTAGCAGCAATATAATTTGCATAACGGAAGAAAATATTCTAATATTATGTGTGTAATCATAATATTAATGAAAGGAAGGAAGTTAAAATAACTGGTAGATTTAAATTTTGTGTTGAAATTGCAGCCATTATCAATAGGTGACTTTTAATTATTTAGCGAGCTGGCATTTAAAATTTGAAGAGTTATTTACTTAGGTATAATTTTAATAAAATATTTTGGTTATTTTTTTAGACATGTTTCGAGACATGAACTATTCCCAATTCGGGCTCCACTTATGGCTATGGAGCATTGTGTAGCACCTTTCTTAGACAGCTGTGATGCTGATGATGACCATAAAATCACTCTTAAGGAATGGGGAAACTGTCTTGGCCTGGAAGAAGGTACATGCATTTTAATACTTCTCTATTTATAGTTTTATAGTCTTGGTTCTATTTCATTATTGTTTCTAAAATTAATATTTAGCATATAAACAGGATTGGTATTTAAAATGATATATAATATCTGTATATTTAATTTTAAAATTAACTTTTTATTATTTAAAAAATAACTTATTATTTATTGTTGAAATTAGGTTTATATCAGATTTAAAAAATTTTTTGATGGACTGTTTGCTGAATCTTTACATGTGTTAATTTAGTAGTTTATGCTTATAAAACAAAAGTAGTGGCATACACATTCTCTTTTCATGGTAAAACACTTTACCTTAAGAATGTAATACAGTACAATATAGTGAATTAAAAAAATCATAAAAACATATTACTATTCTTGCGCTGTGTAATGAGAACAGCTGTGTAAATGAGAAATATACACTACTAATTTGTAAATAATTACCATAAACAAATGTAAACATTATATGAAATATTACATGAGTTCAATTTTTGGAAGCAAAAATTACTACTGGAACAGGAATTGTGCCATTTTCATTGAAGTACGCCAACATTCCTTTTACCATAATCATAATCAATTTAAAGATTTACTGATTATTAAAATGTTATATAAAATTATTTAAATATTCATCTTGCAAATAAAAAAAAATGCATAAACTATGATGCAATTTAATGTTTTATCTAAAATAAAATATCTGCAAAATAAATTGATAAATAAAAACAGAAACATCAAAGAAAAATTGAACTGATATTTAAAAATGTTTACAGTCAAAAGTTGTTAATCCGGACTCATCGGGACTTCGGCGATTCCGGATTATAGATCATCAGTTTAAATCGCGTAAGATGGCATGCAGAAATTATGAAATTAAAAATATGAAATAATGATTTATGATATAATAAAGTATTTATGATGTAAAGGGTATTAACATTTATAAAAAAAAGCTTAATATTTATTTGTTTACCTTATTAAACACTTCTTTCAATGTAAGATGTTTAAGTTGCTTCGTTTAGTGATAAGAATTTCTATAATTCTATAACAGAACATATTTTGTTCAGTTACAAAGTTCTGCTGTGAAGTCTGTTAATATCGAATTTTTCGTTTTCACTACTCTCGGTCACATTCTTCATGTTTTTATCCATTTTTGCAGCAATTCCACTTTTTTTGAGGACACGAAACATACTTTAGTTTTTTACTATCCTTTGGGAGGCTCCAGAATCGAAATTCTATTGACATAATCGAAAGTTCAAGTACTTTTTAGTATGCTTTACAGTCTGCAAAAAATAAGAAGCGGTCCAATTCGAAAATTAACAACGCAATATCAAATTAACTGAAATAGATAATTAGTAATTTTAACTATACTGTCCGTTATCATAAAAGCGCCGCGAAAACGTATCTGCGCTTGCGCACACGCATCGTAAGAGGTCTTGGCACAGTGTAAAAGCCTATGCGCATGGTCACGTGTGCATGCGCAGAAAGTTTTTAGTTGAGGTCGGTTATAGATCATTCCGAATGATGGGTGTCCGAATTAACGACTTTTGACTGTATAAAGTGCTTAAGAATGAAAAAAATTAAACCTGTTTTAAAAATTTTCCCTTTCATATTTTTCTACCAAGAATATAATTCCAACTTTAAATACAGTTATTATTTTATTACTTAAAATAAAAGTTCCATTTCCATTTAAATTTCCAATATGCGAATATTAGTTCTTCCTCCCCATCATAATAACAACATACTAATTTATCAAGTCCCATACCTAAAACTGCTAAAATCATGATTCATAAACATAATGAAAAAATAATTTCTTGTGCTATAGTTCTTAAATTGTACATTAAGAGGCTTCAAATGTTATTCAGAGTTAAATTATTACGATATCAATATCTAAACTTTATTCTCAATTTCATAAACTTAACAACTGTTTTCAGTCTGAACAATTTAAGAAATTTAGGGCATGAAATATAAATAATATGATAAAATATGTTTTTTCATGATTAAAATGACTTACACTACTTTGAATTTCTATAAATATATTAAAATAACTTTAATTAAAAATTTTGCACAAAATGAATGCAATACCTTTTTTTTGACATAGATATAATAGAAATTTTCCTTATATTTGGAAGATCATTTTCTTAAGTTTTATATAAAAACTAAAATTTATAAGTTCAAAGTAACATTTATACTAAATTTTAAATGCAAAGAAAATAATTATGTTCATTTTTTACCAGCACCCAGAAACTCCTTGATACATGTTTATTTTTTAACTTTAGGAAAGTACTCCTAAGAATATATATTATTATTTTTATATTATCTAATGTAAAATTTTTTATGAAATACAAGTACATATTTTCATTTATGTAATGATGCTACTGTTTCAGATGAGATTGAAGATAAATGTGCAACTATGCATAGAGGTTAGAAAGGATGAAGTTTAGAAAGCAACAGTGAGCTTGTCAGCTATTGCCATGTTGTGTTATAGAATAATAGCATGATGTCATGCTTGCCAAACAGTACAGCCCTTAACAACTTACTTAAATTTCATTATTTTACATTTTTATAATCTTATCATGAGAAAGATAGTTACTGATTTTATATGCATTTAAAAGTTTTTACAAAAATTAATTTTATCTGCCTTTTTGATAATGTCAGGCCTAGAAGTGTCATGTTTTTAAATCACTGCCATGTATTTTATATGTATTTACTATATGTGATTTGGTGTGATGAATAAAATATAACTGATTTGTACTTCATTCTTTTCTATGTCAAGTACGACATGTTATGCTTTTTGTGATAACTACTATTGCAATTTATAAATTTAACACATTACAGGAAGTTCAGAACTAATAGTTTCTTAAATGTTAAATAAAATGTATTTTAAAATTTGTCTACCCCTAGATGAAAGTGGGGGGGGGAAAAAAAAAAAAAAACTTATTGGACCGTATTGTGAGCCTCTCAGAAATTTTTAATGTCAAATTCCTTGATACCCCAGTAAAAATTTTATATTTTTACCGATTTGTATTTACTCATAATGAAGTTTTTTCTTTCATATCATCATTCTTTCCTTTTTGAATTTAAAAAAAAAATAATTAATGCAGAGAGGATTTTTCTTGCTGATTCCAATAAATTAAAAATCCTGCCCTTTTTTTATCTTTTTGATTCAAATAAATAAAAATTTCCAAATTCCCCTCCCTCAAAATTGTAATTCTAAATGAAGAACTTCTTTTTTTATATAGCATCTACAGTTATTAAAAGTTAAGCATATTGAATCAAATTCTAATATGACTAACGATACTGCTATATATAAAAGAAATTTATAATAATGTAAGAATTTTTCCAACCATAAACCAGAGATTTCTACAAGACAGCTACTGCAAAATCTGTAAGAAAATTATGACTACACCTTTTGAATAATATATTAGAATTACCGATAAATTGTAAATGTTTAGCAAAAAATTAAAAATTATTTACTTAATTTCTCAGTTATTCTGTCACTTAGAGAAAAACCTACCTATATCTTTCTGTACTAAATCAAAATACATTAAACACTGTCCATTTCTTTTTTTTTTTTTTTCAAAATCACACAAAATGATACTCTCAAAAATAATTTCATAAAACAACTTTTATCTCATGATCTTTAAATTTTTCCATGCCTTTTCAAATAACACAAATACAATAAAATGTACAAAGCTATCTATCTACAAATGGATGTTCAATACAATAACATTCTGCAAATTAGAGGAACACATTTGACACAGATTAGTTTTGTTCATTTCATGCACATACACAAGATTAGTAACCATGCTGATTAATTTGTTTTAAAAATCACAGTTGTGGATGTATAAACAATTTTTAAAATTATAGCTTGTATAATCATGAATTTCATATTTGTCAAAGAGCCCTAAAATAATGATATTTTGCTTATTCTTAAAAAATCAATTTAATTAATACATTTTTTTAATATTTTACAGTTCACAACATTAAAAAAACTTGATAACTGTGCTTTAACCTCTCCTACATGATACACAATTCTAAATATGTTCATTCAATATAAATCAAGCCAATGTAAAAGTAAAACAAATAAAAGTTTAAGAGTGAAAAAGATATTTTTAAAATTTAATTTAAATTAGTAAATATCTTTTCTGTGAGAAATTAAAATGAAAAACCATTTAAGCAATAAATTCAGTTGTACAGCATATTTCTAATCAATGGTTGATGTCCAGATATTTAACTATCCAAATAATTATGATTTAAGAATGAATGCTACTAAACAAAATACTGAGTTTTTAAATAAGACCACCCTGCAGTTAATTTTGTGCATATAAACTCATAATTTAACAATTATATAGAGTTGAATTCATTTTCACTTATTACTATGCCTTTCTTATGACTAAAAATAATCACTTATATCTCCAATATAATTTTATCAGTCATGAAAATCATATGCACACATGCAAAAGTACAGTTTGATGTAAAATACATAAATTAGAAAACAAATAATTTCATAAGCTAGACCTGAAAGGTAAAGCCAGTTGTCTATGTGTTATCTTTTTTTTCTCTTTGAGTACCAAACTATGGTTAAATGACCAATAGTTTGGCTGTTGTTCTATGCAAATACCTCATTGATATGTCCATTGTTGTTAAGTTTAAAGATAATTTTTGTATGATTATAAATGTTTATATGGTACAATAAGTCTATTTTTCATTTCATTTATAATTTTGTTCTAGGTGAACTACTAAATAAAACTACACAATTTACAGAACTTCAAATTAAAAATTATCTTTTCCCAAATGATGGCATATTGTTCTTAAACTAGACTAGGACTTCTCTGAAAGATTAATATTCCTTTTTTCTATCACATACCATTTAACAATTCTTACATTTTCTCCTATTAATAAGGAAAAAAACTTGGATGTCAGACGTGAGATGGTTCATTGTAAAACCGCAGGAATATGCCCCACTTACTTTGTTAATAGTTAGTGGCTTCTCCAGGTGCCTGTGTATTTTTAGCCACTGTGTGATTTTTCTTATAGGAAATGTTTGTTATGTGCTTTAGTAAGTTCCATTGATATTGATTATTTTTGTAAAATACAATTTTTATCCTTAACACAGGTTATGGATCGCTGGTTGAAATCTTGAACTACTACACTGAAAGAAAGTAACGTTTATAGTAGCAGTCAACTAACAGGAAATTAACAATGAATCAACTTCAATTCTGAAAGAACTTGTTAAGAAAAAAAGATAGGAAAACTCGGAAGTATGACAAAGAATAGCTTAAATTTGGATTCTCATGGACTGGAGATGAAAATGAGCCTATTCCACTTTTCACATTTGTTTTGAAAACCTAACAAACAAAAGCATGAAACCATTCAACTTAAAGCACCATTTTGAGATAAACTATAATCAGTACAAAGATAAACCCATAAATTAATTTTAACTTGACTAAATTTATTTAAAAAATAAATTTAAGGATTTAAATTAGTCTCGAAAAGTAATGCAGGGTCTGATAAGTGACAACAAAAAAATGCTAGAAACTTCATATCGCGTGTCGCTTTTAATTTCAAAATGTAGTGCAGCGGAAACCATTGGTGAAATTTTAATCAAGCCTATAGCCAAGATAATGGCAGAAGTAATAGGAGGTAGTACGAAATAAACTTTTGAACACTTTTCTCTCTCAAATAATACAGCTCATCGATGAATCATTGATATGTCTAATAATGTGAAACAGATGTTATTATCTGATATTTCTCACAGTTTTTATTACTCATTGCAAGCCAATGAGTCCACTGATATTGCGAATTTTGCAAATCTTATGGTGTTTGTTAGATACGAAAAAATCAAGAAATTCATGACAACTTTTTATTTTGCCAGCCTTTATTAGGTCACACAACAGGAGAAGATATCATTATTAATGTTATGAATAAATTTATGCAAGAGAGCAAAAGCAGAAAGTATGATTGGAATTAATAAGGGACTCATTGCAAGAATTAAAAATGTTGCTCTAAATGTCATATCCACACATTGTTGCATACACAGAGAGGCTTTGGCAATATGTAAAGCCGTTATCACATTAGCTGTTTGTTGCCGGGACAAAACGTTTGTAGCAACAGTTCTGAGAAACGGCCTGTGGCAAAATAGGGGGGTTCCATCTTCACTTGGCAACCAGGCTGAAAAGCCAAACAAGAATCAGTTTATCGCTCAGATTGGCGAAAGTGACGTTTCCTTTCAAGTGACATTCGCCTTTTCGTGTGGTTTTGTATCGCTCACACGCTTTTCGTTTTAAACTTTATTGTTAGTAATGGAGATAATAGAAAGGTGATTGCTATCAAGTTATCACTGTGATCTCAGTCTGGCACTTCATTAACGATAAACACACTTCTGGTTATAGTAATCAATTACATCAGTAATAGCCAACTTCTGTATACACTAGAATAGTTTAAAAACATGTCTGGATATTCTTTATCACACATCGCTTATGTGTATTTGTTGTCTGATTCAATGAAAATTTGTGACCTGGTGAAGCATTTTCTGACTAACTTTATGGCTATAATTATGTTCTGTCCATTCAAAGACAAAAATCTATATGGCTGATATTTACAACCTCACAGCCCGCAGATACTATCAGCAAGAAGATCAAATAAAGCATATGAATAAATGGAGCAATCAAACATGTGCGAGTTGTTTCTGTCCCATAGAACACTCGGTAATATACCCTAACACATTAATTATACCACTCTAGAAATTAGGTGTTCACATCATGAGTTTGTTATGGTTTGATTTATGAGATTACGCAAGCCCACTAGGGCTATCTGCCTAAGGGAAGGGATGCCTTCGGGGGAGACTTTCTAAGGAAACTGGCTCGTATACGTTACACTGGGGAAAACCACGCAAAGCGTCCATGCAGCCGCCCGTTGCCGGATTCGAATCTTGGCGAACTACCAGTGTTCAGCGACTTTCCGCTCGGCCGCTGGGGGACAGTTGGTTTTATGTGATTACCGCAAGCTCAGGGATAACAAAAGGGGATCCCTTTGTAGAGATTTTTAAAACTGGCTCGTATACCAGTTTTAAACAAGGAAAAGCATGGAGCAGGCCCGTCGGGCATTCTAACCTGAGACAGAATACCAGGTTCAACGACGCTCGGCCACAGTAGGCCCGGCACTTATGGAAAGTGCAATGATATTAACAGACATAAAGGTGATAATCAGTGGCGCTGTTTTAAGTAATCAAATGTTATAAAGCACAGTGTACATTTCTATTATTTATTAAGTATGTTTATTACGTAGATCTAGTATGATATAATTATGAATTAACCAATAACAAAATGTGTACACTCTTTAGTACTCCAAATACTCATCAATTATTTTCAATGTTATGACTACCATAATAATTTGCAAAGAACTGATACATAGTGATGCCAATTAATAACGTATCTAATTAAAAGTCTTCAATAACTTCTTGGCAATGTTCATTTTTGTATTCTACATACATAAATATAACATCTAATAAGTCATATATTAATCAGATAGGAGATGCGAGTTTAGAAGGGTAATATATATTATTAGTATTAAGTAATGAAAGATTGTATTTAAGTGTATATACAAATGTTTTGATCCTGTAAAAAAACCAAAATTTCAATGTTTCAATAGTAGTTGCATAAAAGTAGAGTTTCAATGTATTTATAATCCAAATGTATTCATTAATACTGAAATAATAGAAAATTATGAGTATTCTCATTATACTACGCTTG